GAGGCAGGGACTGATCCGGAGGAGAGGGATTGGTTGATGATGTCAGCCAGTGGTGGGCAGAGGAGGGGGAGCTGGGTGACCAGAAAGTTGGTGGGGAGGGGGTCGAGGCAGCAGGTGGTAGGTTTCACGGAGGTGATGGTGAGTGAGAGGGAGGAGGGAGAGATGGGGAAAAGGAATGTAGAATGGGGGTGGTGGTAGGAGCAGATGATGAGGAAGGTGAGGGGGACAGAGAGGGCGTGGTGGTGGGTGACAAGGGACAGGTGGATGAGGCTGCCTGGCGGATGTTAAGTATTTTAGAAGAAAAGAAGTCCATGACCTCCTTGCACTTGGCATTTGATATGAAGATTGAGGAGGCCTGAGGGGGGCACGGAGGAGGTAGTGGTTGGTGAAAAAAAGGATTTTAGGGTTATGTTTAGCCTCCAAGATAATGTTGGAGTAGAAGGCCGTTTTTGTGCATGTCAAGGAACGGTGGTAGCTGTGGAGATGCTCGAGCCACAGTTGGCGGTGAACTGTCAGGCCAGTTTTCCACCATTGGACTCGAGCAGACGGGTTTGGGTTTTTGGCGACGGAGATTGTTGTTGTACCAGGGGGATCGGGTGGGTTTGGAGATGGTCATAGATTTCAGGGGCACGAGGGAGTGGAAGGTGGAGGAGCGGCGATCATGGAGCAGCTGGACGGCTGCTTCAGGATTTCCGCGGGTGGAGGGCCAGAGGGATAGGATGTTGGATGATGTGAGAGCCTTTGTGAGGGCTTGATGGAGGAGGGCAGTAGAGGATGGTTGAGGGCTTGATGGAGGAGAGAGAGATGTGAGAGGAGAAGGAGATGAAAAAGTGGTCAGAAATGTCAAGACCATGGGTGATGACGAGGTCAAGTGCATGACCGCGGTTGTGGGTGGATGAATTTATATGGAGGGTAAGGTTTAGGGAGGAGAGGAGGGCAGTGAAATCGGCAGAAGTGGTGCAAGGGGAGTTTAGGTGGAGGTTGAAATCGCCCATTATGAGTAGGTGCTCAGAGCAGAGGGACAAGGAAGAGAGGAGGTTAGAAATGTCTGTGTGGAAGGAGCCGGGGGGCTGGGGGGGGGGGCGGTAGACAAGGAGGATTTTCAAAGGGAGAGAGGGGTGGAAGAGGGTGAGATGCTCGAAGGAGGAGAAGCAGCCAGAGGAGTAGGGGGTGAGACCAAGGGAGGCTTTGGAAATGAGAGCCACCCTGCTGCCACGTTGGTTTGGACGGGGGGTGTGGTGGAAGGTGTGAGGAGGGGAGGCTTCAACTAGGGGTACGGGGACATTGGGGGGGAGCCAAGTTTCGGTGAGCCCAAGAATGTCAAGGTGCTCGTCCAGGATGAGGTCGTGGATGATGAGGGCTTTATTTGAGAGGGAGGCGGACATTTTGGAGGGAAATGCAGGTGGGTTTGCTGGAGGGAAGGGAGAGAGGAAATAGTGGTGCAGAGAGGATTTTGGGGTGTACAGGAGATGGCTGTGGAGAGCGGTGTGAGTGGAGAGTTGGGGAGGGTACGTATGAGAGAGGGGGAAGTTGGATATGCCTTAAGGAGGCGGTTTGAATGGAGGGAGTGAATAATTGGACCCTTGAGGTTGCTGCTCTGGGACAGCCAATGCCGGGAGCTACGATGGGCCCGGCGGAGGATTCCCAGGCTGGAGCAGAGGGAAGTGGTGATGGAGTCGAAGGGAGAGAAGGCGGGGAGGGCAGTGGGAGAGAAGGACAGAGGGGGAGTAGCAGATAGAGAGAGGTGGGAGGAGAGACATAGAAGGGGGTGAGAGGAGAGACATAGAGGGGGGGTGGGAAGAGAGACATTTAGGGGGAGGCTTGGGTTGGGGCAGTAGCCAAAATGCACACGCAGAGACCGGGAGCGAGAGATCAGCAGGACAGCATCAGCCCTCAGGCTTAGCCTCCCAGGTCATGGCCGAGTGGCAGTGGCTGCCAGGCCATTGTTGTTGTTGTTGGTCACAATGGTTCTGCAACATCAATATCTTTTTGGTTGGGTAACTCTGGAAATTTACAATAATAATCCTTACATTTGGTGTAGTGCCTTTCACATCGGGTGATCATCTCAAAGCACTTCACAGGATAAACAGTAGAGTGGAGTGACTGTATGTTTTGTTGGCGAACATCTTAAAGGTTTGTCTAGGTTTGCCATGAAGGAACAGTCAAATTGATGACTTGTCTAAACCATTTCAGTACACTACTCTTCAACCATGTGCTACTTTCAGATTTGATTTTACTCTAAATCAGAATCCTACATTAAAATACATAGACAGTTTTCACCTGTTAAATTGTAATCTTATACAGTGTGTTGTTAGGAAGTTGCCTCATTTTCTGGTTAAGGGGATATGTAGGTGATCAGACAGACATAGACAGATTGGGAGGAGATTAGGGTGAACTAGCAGATTGTTTACAACAACAACTTGCACTTATATAGCGCCCTCCATGCAGGGTAGCATCTCAGAGCACTTACTTACATTCCCATTTATGTTTGTATAGCGCCTTTCACTTCGGGAGGATGCATCAAAGCACTTTACAGTGCTGGACAAGCAATGAGCTGAGGGTAGGAGCCAAGGGAGTGGAGAGGGGAAAGATTACCAAAAGTGCGGTCAAAGAAGAGAGGGAGACAGCATTTCTAATGGGAATCAACTCCAGCCTTCAGCCAGCATCCAAACCTGCTGTAGGGAGATTTATGGTCACAGCAGCCATCAGAGCACCCAGTGGAACAGCATGTTGCTGCATAAGCATGTTAAATCATTGAGCTGCCAGCTTGGGTATGGGGAATAGATTGTCTGACATGAAATACATCTGGAGCTGGCAGAGAGTTAAGATGGGTTTTCCAGAGTAACTTGATTTGTGCTTTAAAGTCTTGTCCAATTGTTGACCATATTCAGTGTGCAATGTAAATGTAGGGTGAGGAACATTACCAATAACGAAACATCAATCACCTTTGTGAATTACAGAAACTGGATGTTTACGGCAGGTAGGTGGTAAACCAAACTGACAAGAGGAACAGAGCTAATGTTTTCTTAAAGGCAAAACTAGCTTGTCTTGTCATTTCCCAATAGCTATTTTCTCTAACTCAGGGGATCATCCTTGTTGCTCTCTTCTGCACTGCCTCTTGGGCCTGGACAGCCCCTTATGTCGCAGTGACCAGAACTGTATACAGTGTTCAGGTGCGGTCTGACCAGAGCAGTGTACAGCCTGAGTCTGGGGATCTAAACTCAACTGATTGAGCAATAATAATAATAATCCTTGCATTTGATATAGCGCTTTTCATGTCTTCTAGACGTCTCAAAGCGCTTTTATAGTCCAACATCCTTGTTTATTGCTGCCTCATTTTGTTCTGACACAGTGAGCAAAAAGTCAATTAACATCCCTTGATCACTTTCAGCGAATTCCTTGGCGAATTCAATCCCATCCATGGATTACTTGTGTTTCCTGTTCTTGGATCCTATCTGTAGTACCTTGTACTTATCTGTATTAAACTTCATTTACCAGTTATCAGTCCATTTGCATGTGGGTTTTATACAGATCCAGTTTACAATTGAAACACATCAAGTACGGAGCTTCATATCACAAGTAGTTAAAGTCTAAACCTGGAACTAATGTGCAAAACAATCATGGTCTTTGTTGCATGGGCATGCTTCATCCTTAATGTGCCTTCTCTCAAACATTCTGTAGCAATATGTAGCCTCATGTTTCCCCTTCAAACCAAACTATTATCAATTCCATATGTGTATGTGCTATTGTAAGTTTCAGTGTTTCTTTCATGTACAGCTATCCTCTAATAAAGGTCAAATATCTGAAATTCCCCAAAAGCCGGGCACAGTGGTTTACTTTTTTTAAAATCAGTGCATTATAGTCATGATAGTGCTGTTCTGATTTTAAGGTGACATTATTTTTCCCATCTAATAACCATTCAGTATTTCTCCCTATTTTAATTCTGCGAGCACTGAATGCTTCAAAGTTGGTACAGTAGCAATCTGTAAAACTTATTCCCTAATTTACCATAGATAATTCTGAAACATTACCCTGAGTATAACAATATAACACACAGTGTTGCTCAGAATAATTAGACAGATGTCAATTCAGTTCTTGGTGAATTCACTTCTTAGTGCACTGCTTAAAATGTTAATAAAATGAAAACCTGTTGATTTACTTTTCAGCATCAGATTTTTTTTGTTGTTGCATTTTTCCATTAGTTTCACTTCTTCAAGGTGAAATGGCCAAAGTCAATCCTGCTCTGATCTTAACTGACAAGATGCAAACCATGTATTCTATGCTTAGCTAATGACAAACAAGTCCATTCACCCTGTACTCAGCCACAGAGCTAAGATATGTACATTAGTCCATGCTTAGCTAATAATAATAATAGGAGTAAAGCCAAATTATTCTGTGCTTAACTAACTGCAGAGACAAACAAAGTCAGTAAGTCTCTCATCATCTTTCCTCCCCACGTACTCCCAAAGTAAGACACAGTATTTCAGAAATTTGAGAAAAGACTGGTACGCCTGAATAGAAGATTTCTGTATCAGGTAGAACTCCAAACCAAAATCATGGCACTGCAGTGACAGACCCTCCAACCCTTTAAACACAGACACTTAACAAACAGTTTACAGGTTAATAAGACACACACAAGTAAGTATTCTTATTGTAGACAAGTCTGTATAAATAGTCTTGCAAACAATGCCAGCTAACAAATCTAAAAGCAAACAACAACTTGCATTTATATAGCTCTCTTCACACGGGGCAGCATCTTGGAGCGCTGGCTAAGAGCAAAGTACATTAACACAGCTCTGTGTAAAAGTTACATGGGACAATATCTGAAATCAAATGATTTCTAAATAGTTTATCTGCTTGAATCAATTTTTGTCATGACAAAAACTTAAAGATGGATCTTTGACCAAATAGAGAACCTGGAAAAGGTTACAGACAGATTCCAGTGATTTTACGTATGGTTTTAAAACACAGTGGCATGATGCCAGTCATTTCTGTCTTACCTCTGATCCAACTGGACAGAGAGTTCCTGGTAGATCTGTCCAGCTTGCTTATGATACTCTACCTGGGCTTGTACCAATGCTGTAAGTTGGCTGACTTGCTCAATCTGAAAGCAGTAATAAAGCAATCGATTAATTCAATAACATTAGGGTACATGAGGAGATTTCACTATGGAAGTGTATTAACAGCCTGAACCATTCCCAGCTCTTAAATGCCACCAGTCTTGTCACAGACTCTGCAATGCCATTTAGGATATTTCCACAAATATGATCTTACGTTGCAGCACAATGAATTGGTGACCAACCTTTATGGTCGACCAACAAAATACATTTTCTTGATTGAGTATTTCTTGATGTTTGCCTTAAATCACATTATAAATCACATCACTTCTTGGCCTAAGATCAAGTGTAATATCTATTCTTATCAGTTACTCTTTGGGCTAGCGGCTGCCAAAAAGTTCTCCTATTGAGATTCTACTTCTGAACGCCAGCACAACCAATTTCACCCAAAAATGAGAGGGTTATGGGAAGGATTGAGCTCCTGGTAACAGCCCTCTGTTGGTTAGGACCGGAAATTTATATAAGAAATGCTAGATGAAAAAAAGACCAAAGTCCATCCAGTTTGCCTCCCACCTTCCTGCCGGTCGCCTACACATATGTCCCAAATACTTATGTACTATATTCCATAATGTTATTTCGTAAAAGAAAACTATATAATCTGTGTTTGCAGGAATCAACACTTCCTGCTTCAACCGTCTCCCTTGGGAGCCTGTTCCAGTTTGCTATTTGCTCATTAAAATAGTGAGCAAATATTCGCTCACTGTTTCAGTGTATCATTATTTCAGAATGTGTTTATCACAGCTGTGTACTGCAAGGATGAAACGCATTAACAAAGGATTAGAGATTATACATCAATATTAAAAAAAACTGTGTTGCGTAAAAAAGGCAGATACTATGGGAAATCTGGTTTAAAATGGTAACATGCTACTATATGGATCTTCAAACTCTACAGGGCATAGTAAACAAGCATGCTGGACAGCACCTTACGGTATTGAAATTTCAAGAACAAGAGAAAGTGTTTCAGTTCCTACTAAACCTCTAAAATACAAATTTACATTTATAAAGTGCCTTTCATGGTGGGAGGATGTTCCAAAGCGCAAAGCATTGTGGCGAAGATGATACAGAAAAGTGGCATAGTTTTCTTAAAACAAAGGAAATATATCATTGGTGAAAATATTCCAGTAATGAAATGTCTGCCTTATTTTCTTTGAACTATAATGACTGCTTGCACCTTATTTGAGAGCCTTTCTCACAGCCACCACTGAACTGGCTTGTGATATATCTACCATTTGGTGGCGCTGCATGTCCAACTGTGCTTGCTGTATACTGTGGTGTAAACTGTCGGAAATGTCCCTTGTTGAATTCTCCAATGTGCATAATGTCAGCAGTGGTTAATGTACTGTAGAATATGGTAAATATGGTGTGTTTAAAAAAAACATTGAATGTGCTTCTATCAATGCCGCCATCAATGCCGTTTTGAGAACATCTGTCAAATCCAGGATAACCAATTATATGCATCGCTGGTTACAAAAAAACAAAGTTCAAAACTAACTCAAAGGCCGCAAAGATGCAGTGTACTAACGGCGAGCAAGCACTGATCCCAGAAAGCTAATGTAATCTCAGGGCTCAGATGACTAGCACAAATTGTTTGAGCTCCACTTGTTGATGGTAGCATCTGAACACCACTGCAGCATGCTAACCCGCTCTCAGGTTGGCATTATTCTCTGTGTAAAATCTCCACTCAAAACACTTAAGCCAGCCTGGCTCATCAGCAGGACCTGGAAGGGCAGACCAGTCACTGGGGACAGTGAGTCATCCCCCTCAGCTCCTGTTAACCCTGCAGGTCGAAGCCCTAATGGGTAGGATGGTCCTAGCTGGACAAGCAGTGGAAAAGCTTGTCAGACAGCAATATCAATGGCAAGCTATGCGATTTTAGCTGGTTAGACTCTGGCAGTTACCCACAACAACAACAAGATTTAATTTATAGAATGCCTTTCACGTCGGGAGGACGTCCCAAGGCGCTGTACAGTTGGGTCAGGACCCGAGCAGGGGGGAAATGGTCAGGGGAGGGGAGGGAAGGGAGGGAGCGAGGAGGGGATGGAGAGTCGAGAGGGGAGCTGAAGGCACGGCCAAAGAGACGCACTGCTTAAGATGGTGATTTTTTAAAAAAAATCTCATTCATTTATTCAATCAATGCCCCAGACAACAATCTGCTGCCGCAACGATTGGATAAAACATAAAAAGTGAGAAATCATTTGGTGGTGATTTACATTGATCCACTACAAAACAAAGCCAGCCATCATCTGTCTTAACAACAGACAAAATACATTTAAGGGACGTTTTCGTCAGAAGTGTCCAGATTGCTAAAATCCCCACACGATAAAGGGTTGATTTGAAAATACATTGAAAATTAGTAAGAAGCATTCAATTACAGAGTGACTTTTCATAATAGTGGTTTCTAAATTGTTTACAAAGATATTATTTCTACAAGAGTTCAGTGGATATGAATACCTGCCATTATTTTGATGTCAAATAAGTGACCTGGAATCCTTTCATTGGCAGTTGATTCATAATTAAAGGAAACGTAATTCTTTTTGTATACATGTGGTTTCACACGGTTAGAAAACTTGCAAAATAGACCCCATTGTGAATGGAATTAGGCCATTTGTAGTTAAGAGCAAGGAAGGCCATCAGAGGTGGAAACTTGAATGAATGAATTCAAACTTAAAGTGCCAGGATCATCAATTCACATTTAGATTTCAGAATATGGGAACTTTTGATAGTAATTCTCTCCCATTCTCCTCCTAAAATCAAAGTGTACAAATTGGTATTGAAAGCTCTATGTAGCAGTGCACCAAAATATAATCTTCATCTGTTTAACTCGTATTCATCCAGAAAGAAAGCTCTTTACAGCTTTCCAATCAGCAATGAATTTGTATTGAATATGATAGAGAGGAAAATCTGAAAACAATTAATCTGAAGAGAGTTTTGATATGAATCTACACAGTATATGTGAAACAATGGGTAACATGGAGTAGTAATGGGAGTGAATCCAAGACTGCAATTTGATCAAGGAGTTCTGATATCATAAACCCAAAGGTTAAATTACAGCTTTAAAATCCACTATTTTTCATTAGTATACAGGATATTTCATCAATGTTTGGGAGCAATACAATATACATTTATACAGCGCTTTTCACGATGGGTGGACAATACAACATAAAGAAAGATCTAATACCTGAGATCTGCAGGTATATTTCATATATATCAGTGCATTGTAGAAACAGATTTTGCTGTCAGCAACAGCTCAACTGCAGTGTAAGAAGGAAGTAAACAGTCATTGCTGCCAATAACCAGATGTGTGTTATGCCAACTCACAGGAATTCTGTTCCTTCACGATCCTAGAAGGATGTCACACTGGAGCAGAGTTCTTGCAAGTCAGCATGATGTCAAGACAGGTCATCATGACATCTGGTGACCATAAGGAAATCGTTATTTGTTACTCACAAATATTGTGTTTTTAGACTGCAACATTGAAACCATTCACCAAATTACAATACTTTTGCACTACTTTAATTCCAATAGAGTCATATCCCAGCCCCACCTAACACTGGATCAGAGGGAAAATAAAAGGCCACACATACAATTCATTCACTCAGATGTCAGCAAGGCTGTGTGGTCTTAGCATGCAGTATGTGCATGTTTAATGGCTGAGGAAGTGGCATTGTTGGTATGAGCACTTGTGGGGCTGTAGTACATCTGCTGTCTCTCCAGGAAAAGGACAATGCATGGAGATAAAGCAGGTGTAGCTTGGATGGGGGGAGGGGGTGGGGGCTAGTAGGAAAGGAGAGAAACAGCAGACACTAAAAAAAAATACATTGAGTGTAAAAGCCTCAGAAAGGATTTGCTTATCAATGTAAGAGAACATAGCAAGCACAAGAGAACACAAGGTTCTTACATCACTCTCCAGAAGGTTAAACATGCTCGATTCAGCGATTTCCTTCGATTCATCAAACTTCTCCAGTGCTTGTCGAATCTCTTCCTCTGGGATTTTTCCCTGTCTCTTCTTTTTGTAGTCAAAGTCTAACCGCCTGCCCTCCAGTTTCTTCAGGTGATGCTGCCAATAAATAAATACATACATAAGTGTGACAATGGCAATCTTGAAGCAATGATCATATACATAAATATAAGTCACAAACTCTACAATGAGGGGCACAGAGTCGAGTACAGAAGATGAAAAGTGAACAGACAGTTCAAATTGAATTATTGTACACAGAGAAAGCAGTGAATATCTGGAATGGACTACCCAGGGAGGTGATCAAAGCAGACTGTGTGAGTGAATTTAGGAAGAAATTAGATAGCTATTTGGCAAAGGGGAACGAGAAGTAGAGTAATGTAAGATAGTTTTTTTTTCTTTGGAACTATACAAATGCCTGCAAATATAATAATAATAATCCTTGCATTTGATATAGCACTTTTCACATCTTAAAGTGAATTGACTGTATACTTGTGGGCAAAACCCGGCAGCCAATTGTGCACAGCAGTGTCCCACAAACAGTTGTGAATTGAGTGACCAAATTATTATTGTTTTTTTTCCTTGAGGGATTATTTTGAACCCCTGAAATACAGGGTTACTACGGTTTACAGTAAATCCTTGGACACGTTTGAGATGTTTTGATGTAATAAGGCACTATGTCAAATGCAAGGATTCTTATTATTATACAATACGCTTTTCTGTTATTCTAAATTTCTATGTTCAGAAGCTTGTATAGTTGTATCTTCAATAATTACCACAGCTACAAAGGACTATCCTGATAGAGCAGAACAGAGTTATATAATTCCTTCAGGAGGCAGTACACTGTATATATGTGTTATGTGGAATGATTAGACAAGCTAGAGATCCTCAGTCTTGAGAGAAGACAACTCAGATGGGACCTCATAGAGGTGTATACAATTTTAAATGGGATTGAAAAAGTAAACCTATATCAATACTTGAAAAGGTATTGTGACACTAGAACAAGAGGACGTAGGTTTAGAGCTGTAAAGGGAAATTTCAGGACAGATACCAGGGAGTTTTTCTCTACTCAGAGGGTAATCAATGATGGGAACAGCTTAACAGGAAAAGTGGTTGAGGCTGGGTCACTGGATTCATTTAAAAATCAGCTTGATGCAGTGATAGGGGGAATGGTAGGGTAGGTTATTTGGAAGAATGAGATTAGATAGGCCTAAGGGCCTTCTTCATCCAAACCAATCTTGTGATCTGTGGTGTGCCCATGTAAATATGTGTATGTATTTTTGTGTGTGTTTGTGAGAAAGGGACAGACAGACCTTTACTTTATTGTCGAATTTGAATTATTATTTAAAATTTAATTTCAAACTATATTCTTACTAATAAAAAACAGATTAAATTATATTGTATCAATATTGATCAATATTTATTTAATGCACACACCAATTATTAATGCACACAATTATTATTTAAAACTAATTATTATTTCAAACGGCATGTCTGTATGCCTGCTTGCGTGTGAGAGAAGGAAAGGCAGAGCAAAATGAATAGTAATTTGGTTTAATAACCTCTAACATATGCAGACATTTCTGTGAAAGCAGATATTTACTGTATAATAGTTGTGCATTTCTATATCCTATTTAATCAAAGTTTAGTTATTTTAATATTAAATGATTGACCAGTTGTCAGCACAGAGCCTTCTTACAGTGATCCAGAGGCTGGACAAAATGGTTGAGAGGTAATGGATATCCAAGAGCAGCTGTTACTAGTTAGCATGTTAATGTTCACTTCACTCCAGTCAGTCACTTTTAACAGAGGCACGCTCCTGGGTTGGCAAAGTATTTGCAATTAGATGCAGTAGACTGACAGAAATCTTTGACCAGCCCATTGAAACCCCAGTTCAACATCTCCATGTCTTTCTGTGCAACCACAAGGGTCTGAGACTCCATTCTTGTTGCGGTGGTTAAGGACTGCACCTTGTTGTTGTATCACATAATGCATCTCACGCCTCAGCGCTCTTCACAGTTCTGATCGCGATCGATTTTCTACATCTAAACAAAAATGCTTCAGTCTTCATCTGCTCAGTAGTGTTCTGATTTAAGAAGGTATGTTCTTTTCCATTCATCTACAATTCAGCTCATCACTCACACAAGCTTTTGGTGCTTGGTTGCTGTGGAGATCAGAGCAATGCTGCGGTGGGAAAAACAGGATGAAACAGCAGATGGAATGAATCAACACTAGAGGCTGGGGATGAAAATTGTAAGACTCTAGAATGAGGACACAAAATAACATCTCAGCACATTCATTCTCCAGTGAGTGAAAGAAAAATGCAGAACTGTCTGCTCATGAAAAGTACTAAATAGGAACACACTGGTTTGTATGGTGTATAATAAAGTACTGTACCTTCAATAGTAACTATATTTCAAGGAACTATCATCATTAACTATCCCAGGAATGGTAACTACCTCCAGTTATCTTTGGAACTTTTTACTGGAACCTTTGGGTTTGACAAACACCAACTACATGATAGAGATCATACGGTAATAAGAGATAACGTAGAAGACACTATATAAATGGGAATTGTATTGTAATATCATGCGCGTGTGTGTGTGGGGGAGGGGGAGAGGAGCACTTTGATCAAATGAAATTGAGCTGGGCTGTTAGAGATACTCTGGTTATGGCAATCCTGATTTCTTTCATATTAATAATAATCCTTCAATTTGATAATGCGCCTTATCACGTTTTTGAGATGTCTGAAAGTGCTTCACAGGATATACTGTAAAGTGAATTGACTGTATATTTTGTGGATGTAACGCGACAGTCAATTGCCAATTGTCCCACAAAGAGTCATGGATTGAGTGACCAACTTATTTTCTTTTAAAGAATTATTACACCTAGAAAAGCGATCTGCCAATCGACTAACAACCGGGTTTTTACTTGCTGCTAGATAAAAAGAGGCATGTGGAGTAAAGAAACTGTGTCCAACCTTTCGCCCTGCTGGAAATTGAACCCTTGTGAGGCGAGTGGTCTAACAACTGAGTTCCATGACTATACTGTGCAGTTAGGAACATAGGAACAGGGGGAAAGCCATTCGACCATTGAGCCTTCTCTGTCATTTTATTGATCCATGGCTGGCAATGTATCTTATAACAGTTGAAAAAAAAGATATTTTACAAACTCTTCTTGGTGGCTCTGCTAGGTTCTGCTCATCCACCCCGAGCCGCTGGGCTACAGAGCAAAAGGTGATTGTTTCTGCCTGACTCTACTCAGGTAGACTGTATGCCACAATCAGGATGTTACACAAACAATAACATTACGGCAACATAACATTTTTATAAAACAGAAAATGAAAGATTGAAATGGACTCGAATTGAGATCACAACCAACGATTGACGTGATCATTGACAATGTGGCCTCTTGAGTATTATTAATTTGTTTTGCTTTTTAGAGAGTGTGCTGGAAAGAATGTGCAAGGCTTTATTGTCAAATAACACAACCAGTTTACATGAGGAGGATGGTAAAGCTGCCCTATAGCCACTAGCATAAACTCTTAGTGAAGCACAGGCTCTCTTTGTTAAATAGCTATCCTGGTCCCAAATGCAAACTGCCTGCAGTGAAAGCATCTACAAACAGGGCCAATCATTTGTATTTCACATTTCCAGGAGGGCTGGAATCAGCTCGGTTGCAATCCAAGCACGAGCTGTGCAAGTCCCATTTCAGGCTCCGCTCCCTTTACATTATGCATTCCTTTCACATGGGTACATAATGTCTCACAGCTTTTCTGATCTAGCATGAATGCAGGTCCACAGTGTTTAAATCACTTTCATGGAACTACTTTTACAGAAAACCCAAACTCAAAGTGCTAGCACAAGCTCATATTTAATTCAGGCTTTTAAATCCACAGACTTCAAGAATACGAAATTTCTGCTTTAGTCGTCACGCAAAGAGTAGGGGTAAGGCAGTCCTCATCTCATTCCTGGACCATTGGTATATTCAGCACTCGCAGTCTAAACTTGTTAGTGCTGGCTGGGGACAAGGAAATGGCCCTGCACTATATCACCATATGAAAGCGTTGATTTGCATAACCCTAAGATTGTATTTGATGGCCAGATATTTATTTATCCTTACGATCACTTCCCTATATTTTGGTTTTGTGAACCTCAAAATGGTTTCAAAAGGCCTTTCCACAGATTCAATATAGTGAGAGTGAGGGCTTGATGGTGACTCACACCGGCATCATTACAGTCAAATCTAGCCCTGTTCTCACTCACTGCTCACACACCTGCGGTTTCTAGATATCAATGGAAGTAGATCAGAAGTAGGGATTCTGGGTTTCCTTTTCCTAGTGCGGAAACCAGTTTCATTGTGTCAGTCAGCACAAACCAGAGATTAAACCAGAGACCTCTCCTGGTCTGTATGCCTCAGTGTTACGCCAAACAAAGCACTTGTTACTGACTGACCAAACAAGTGACAAATCGTGCAGTGTCAGACACTTCCACTTCTCTTCCCACTTTGAGACATTGTGCGAGTCAGGTGCCATTCTGCGATTAAATCATGCTAGATATTAATAGCAACTTTTAGTCTTTTTTTTACATTTCAGAAGCATCCGCTACAGAAAATATCCAAGAGCACATTACCAAGGGTGTTAGATCAATACCTGGATTTCCTTCAGATCCTTGTCGTGAAGGTTTTGTAGAGGATCAATAAAATTCTGTTTCACTTCCATATCTAGAGCATCTTTCACTTCTGCGAGCTGCTTCATAGAATCGCCAGCATCTATTAATGCCTGACCTGGAAGATATTTACTTTGTTTTTTAAATTGAACAAGATTTTATTTTATACAACAAAGCAATTCTTTCACAGTCTTTTTTAAAAAAAAAACTCGCCAAAACAAGATTTATTTTCAATATATTAATGAATATCTCTTCTGTTGTGATTTCCAGGATTCAATTCACTCTTAATTTCATAAGGAAAAAAAAAGCAAAGTTTAATTCCAGACATTCAAATATTTTGGTGACATTTAAAAAATAAAATGACTTTGCTGTTAACGGAATAACAAGAATCACATCTGTGGCATGAATATTCACTGAATACTGCTGGATTTGTAAACATTGGTGAAGTAGATGTGCACACACAGGCTGGGGTTGAGACCTTGTTGTTGGGTTTATTCCTTGCAAGTTGCACTTCATTTTATTTCATTCATGCATAGCCTAATTTCTACTGCTACGAACTAGCGCACACATCATCTCTTTAACTCCCATTAAAGATTTTACAAGGTGTCCACAAAGTCCTGTTACCCCCATTACAAAACAGTGATATAAGACTAAGATGAAGCTGAAGTAAGCTGTTAGAGATACATTTCACCTTATCATTCCATCCACGTTACAGAAGATGCTATACCAAACAATGCGACTGATCATTAATCTGGCATTAAAATGATGGCACTCACATCAATCCTCTATCTAAATACAGTTAAACACTTGTATTGAATACAATTAAGTACTTCTTAATATAATTATCATCATTCTTCCATATGTTTCAGTTGTTGGTCAGTGTACTGTAGAAATAAAATATGGGAGTACCAGGACTTTGTGGAAACCCGATACACTTCAGTTGGAGACTTAGTTCTCTAAAATCAGGACAGGAAGGAAGGAAGGAGGGAGGGAGGGAAGAAGGAAGGAAGGAAGCAAATAAGAAAGTGTGAATGCAAAGCATGCAAGTAAAAGAAAGAAATCGGCAAACAATACTCTGAATGGCCTACAAGGCCATCCACGGCCTTGTTCCCTCCTACCTCTCTGACCTACTATTCCCCTACCTACCTACCCGTACCCTCCGTTCCTCTGGCTCCGGTCTGCTCCACATCCCCCGCCCCAACCGCCCTACCATCGGTGGCCGGGCCTTCAGTCTCTCAGCCCCGAGGCTCTGGAACTCCATCCCCGAGTGCCTTCGCCGCCTTCTCCCTTTCCTCCTTCAAGGCCAGTCTCAAGATCTTTCTCTTTGACCGTGCCTTCAGCTCCCCTCTTGACTCTCTATACCATCCTCGCTCCCTCCCTTCCCTCCCCTCACCCTGACCATTTCCCCCCTGTTTGGGTCCTGACCCAACTGTCCAGCGCTTTGGGACGTCCTCCCGACGTGAAAGGCGCTCTATAAATGGAATCTTGTTGTTGTTGTTGTAATGAATCATGTCAATAACCATACAGAGTTGAGCTTTAAGGAAATGTTTCATGTTTGCAGGTCCTCATGGTGAATACTTTACATTACTGCACAAGAATAGGCCATTCGGTCCGTGCCAGCGTTTTATACTCCGCTCCATGGGGAGTGTTTGTGTTGATTGCAATGGGATCTTGTAACTGTTTCCCCCAGTTTGGTCTCCTCAGGACATGTGTCTCCTGCAGCCCCCAGGCCTCTGATAGTGCTTGAGTTCCTGAAAGGAGTCGAGTGAGAGAAGCTCTGGCAATTCTCCCTGACTGTTGTCTGAGTGTGTGTTTCTGAGAACTGCTATTCTTTGCATTCCTTTCTTAGCTCTGCAAAAGTAACCCCCGCCGATCTCTGCCTGCATTAGCAGTTGACAAGGCCATATCCATGTATTCCCTTGCATCCTCGCTGCTTTGTTTATAATTCATAAAACAGAGCAAGAGGCAGGTGAGACGACACAGCACGACTGGCAATGGTAAGAAAGGAACGAGATTGATTCCTGTATAATTGACGTTTTTTTCTGAAAAAAAAGGTACTACTGAAGAAGTCAGGCTTAGCTTCGGGAAACTAGCTTATTTCAACTCTTATTTTTAAGGTTGGTATTTGCAATCTGTGTAGAATATCTTGTGCATTTAAAAAAAGATATATGCCTGCCTGCCAACAACTGTATTTTGAATGGTAGACACCTCAAAGATGTTTTATTTGCACAGAAGGGACCCAGATCTGCAATGAAAAAGGAAAATCAAAAGAAAAAAAAATTGAATGTTGAAATTCTGAAATAAACTAAATAACAAAATGCAGGAAATCCACAGCAGGTTGATCTGTATCTGAAAGCGAAATGGGTGATGTTTTGAATAGGAATCATCAGTTATGAGTTACAATGAGGAGTCAAACATCCAAGGTTAGCTTTCAGTCGCTTTCAGTCTGACCTGCTGTAGATTTCTAGTATTTCTGTTTTTACTCTTTAATTCCACAATGTATGCATGCAACTCCCAGTCTTCAATTTTACTCTTTGATTAGACTTGTTCCCGTCAATCAGAGAGCCATGATCTCAAGCTATCAAGGACATCTCAATAACCTCCAACAATGCTGCACTGTGACTAGCTAGTAATAGCTGGTGAAATGCAAGGTCAATTTTCACTCCTGCCCATCAACTGGGCCCCAGGAACACTATTTTACCGTCTGAGTAGCAAGAGAAGCACAATTACTGCTTGCAATGCATGTGAAGCTGAGCATTGCTGACTTGTCACACTATATACGCCGCATTTAGAATTTATATGATATAAATTGAATGTCTTTTGGAGCATATTGGTGAGAGACATCAAGGGGAGAAATTGCACTTTGCTCTGGACTTGTGCTATCTTCTTAGCATTTCAGAGTCAGTTCTTGAAGGAAATCTTAATTTTGAAGCCAATTTTCAGATCAGAATGACTGAAAAAGAGTGTCATTCAACAGTAGTTTAGTTTTAAATGCCCATTTCTCTCCATACCATTCTTTAGCTACTGCTTCCTAAGGACTCTAATTTTGTCCAACACAGCTATTGAAAAGGATTTATTATATTACAAAAAATAACAACCAATAAATTTTCTGTCCCTTACATAACATAACATGTAGGAGCAGGAGTAGGCCATTCAGCCCTTCGAGCCTGACCGCCATTCAATCATGGCTGATCTTAATCTAACTCCAGCTAATACCATATAACATAACATAACACCTATTGAAAGAAAATCCAAATCTCTTTGCTCACTTTCGGTCATGTTTCCCTTCCTCACCCTTCTTGGCTCCCACCCTAACTCAAGACCAAGCACCTTGTGAAATCCTCCTGAAGTGATAGGAACTATGTAAACGTAAACTTGTAATGTATTATAAACTTTACCGAATGCATAAAAATGTGCAACTCACCCACTTTTACTGTATAAGTGACAGATCTGCCATTATCCACCATTTACAATTCAGTGTATTTATCGTACCACAGTAAATGATAAATGCAAGGGATGAATAAGAAAACTGGGTTGTCGAGAACAGGCTTCTGTGATAAAAGCACCAAACATGCACACAAGCGATTAGCGCAGTCAGTGACTCACCAAAGTTTGATTCTTCTCCAAGTTCTCTTCCAAATTTCACCATGCTCTCTCCCAGCAGCCCCTCAGCCTGAGGATAGCCTGGCCCTTTCTCCTGTCCTCGAATCTTGGACATTGTGTTGATCATGGTCAGTTTTGCTCTAGAGGCTGAATACAAAATGAACCTCAGTACAAACAAGACAAATAATAATACTTTCATTTGATTTCATGATTTGTCAAGTCGGCAAAAGTATTTTTCACGTTGTAAGGGTTTTATTTGCTCAGCAGGGTGTTTCAGCTATGTAGAAACTTATTGCCATGCTTAAGAATATAGAAACTACTGAGAGTTCCAGATATGCATGGAAATTTCCCTCTGCCTGAAACAGAGTGCTCACTCTCTCCCCAAATGGACACATCCTGTTTACCTAACCCTGAAAAGTATTAAACACAAGTTGCAAGAGCCAAGGCTTGCAGGATGTGGGGGGTGGGGTGGGTGTCCTAGAGTGTGGTTGAGGATTATTGTTGGTGTTTAACCAGCTAACGCTGCAAGAATTGTCTGACAAGCTTCCCACTGCTTGTCCAGGTAGGACCACCCTAGATGTTTAAGAGGAAATAGTCAGCAGGGACTTAGAAGTCACACCCAACAAATCTTCTGGACTTTGTGGATTCAAAGATGAAGCAGAGTGTGAGTGACATTCCCCATGATATGCTGTGGTTTGTCAAAAGCTTGCTGGAAGTTCAGATATGGTATAAGATTCCACACAAAATAATTGTGTTCAAATTAAAAGCCACAGAAATCAGAGAATTTTTTAAAACCTTTTAAAATGGGATTGGATTTTTTTAAATGGTCAAAATAGAAAATAAACTGATAATTATCCTTGCATTTACTGTAGCATCTTATCACATCATTGAGATGTCCTAAAATGCTTCACAGAATATACTGTAAAGTTAATTGACTATATATTTTGCATCAGAGAGAAGTTCCTACATGTTAATGTCATGCACATCCATTTACTCACAAAAAGGGTGCTTATTTGAAGTGTAATTTTATTGGGTATGAGTAGGACAAGGAATATTGCTTGGAGTTAGTGGTTGGGCTCGGCTCTTTTCTAAAACAGAGATGAATCCTAAGATAAACTAAGAAGATCAAATTAGTTGGTGACTCAAAATAGAGGGAGCAGAAGAAACAAGGATTAGCAAAGGGATTTGAAGCTGGTTTGAAATTAGGCATCTATGCGGTAAATTACATTCTAAAGCTAATGATGTGTATAGATTTCCACACAGGATGAAAACAAAATGTGGGACACAAGAATAAATTAATGGAATTCAAATTATAACCAGGGGAAATAACAGCGCAAATTCACAGGTCACTTTCATCATCCATACAATGTGGTGAAGCAATTTAAAAAGTTAATAAAATACAAGGATATGTAGCCGGGAAATGCAATGAGCTATGAACAGAGATTTGATAAATTTAAGACTGACACTGTTGAAAGAAGGCTGTTAAAAGACATCCTCTATTAAATTTACTAAATATTAAAATGACAAAGATAAGCTGAACCTAGACTATTAATTGCAAATAAGTTAAAGGAAGTGGAACCAGAGAAGATAAATGGAAATTTAGTGGCAAATAACCTCTCATCTCCAAAGTGCAATAAATACTTGGAATAATTTACCAAGCAAAGTAATAGAAGCAAAACCATTTGGGTAACTGAAACGACAATTAGAAGAAGTAGCCAGAAAATTGCATCAGAGAGAGGTTTCTACATGTAAATAATAATCCTTGCATTTGATATAGCATCTTATCACATCTTCGAGATGTCTCAAAGCGCTTCACATAATATGCTGTGAAGTTTATTTTATGGGCGAAACATGGCAGGCCATTGCACATAGCAGTTTCCCACAAACAGCCATGGATTGAAGCGACCAATTTATTATTATCATTTCTTTTAAAGACATTATTACCCCCGGAAAAGCGATCTGCCAATCGACTAACAACTGGGTTCCACCTTACTGCTAGCTAAACAGAGGTGTGTGGAGTAAGGAAACTTGCCCAAGGTTTCGCCCTCTGCCTGGAATTGAACTCAGGTCTCTCACTTGCAAAGCGAGTGCTCTAACCACTGAGCTACAGGACTCCACGAATATAGCGCTTCCCCCAGTCCTGGTCCCAACTTCCGCCACCTCCATCACGTTGCCCGCCTCCGACCGTACCTTATCCCAGATGCAGCTGAAACACTCGTCCATGCATTCGTTACCTCCCGACTCGACTTTTCAAATGCCCTCTTTGCCGGTCTCCCCAGCTCTACCATGCACAGGATCCAACTGATCCAAAACTCTGCCGCCCATATATTCACATGAACTAAGCTTCTACCCCCATCACACCAGTTCTAGCCAAGCTCCACTGACTCCCTGTCACCAAACGGATCAATTTCAAGATCCTCACACTTGTTTCATATCCCTTCATGCTCTGGCACCTCCCTACTTCTCTAACATGCTTACCCTCTCCAACCCACTACCCACCTCCTCCGCTCGACTGGCTCCGGCCTTCTGCATGTCTCTCGCGCCCTCCGGTCCACCATCAGTAGCTGTGCCACTACACCCCAAATTACTGGAACACTGTTTCTCTATCCCTCTGCCTTGCCCCTCCTTCCTCATCTTCAGGTCACAATTGAAGATCTTCCTATTTGACTGTGCCTACGGTCCCCTCCCCCATCTATAGCTCGGCATTGTGCTCTGTAACTGTCAAGTGCTCTGGGACTCGAATCTGCGTGAGGGGCGTTATATAAATACAAGTTGTTGTTGTACTGCAGTGGTATGCCAACATGGACTGCTGAGCTCAAGTCCAAAAGTGGGCTTGAACTCGCAATTGCTTTGACTGTGAGATAAGGTTGCTACCAACTGATAACATGATAATCTATTTTTGCCTTGGTCTTTACATCAATTGTCGATTTTAATTTTAATTGTAATTGTCTTTACATTCACTTACTCACTTACTCACTTACTCACAGCATTCAACATCTATAAACCTTTGCGAACCCTGCTGGGGTTACCACATATTTGGCTCCATTATCATGTAGAAATTCCACTTGAGTCTAGATTTATTCTATTTACAAAGCAAATGAAAGTACCCAAATTTTCTTAAATTATTAAATACAGCCTTAACATCGAAGCCATTTTTTCTATCAGTTCCTTTAAGAACTGCAGAAAACCAACTTCAAAGTTAAGACTGAATTCAACAATTTGGCAATTTCTAGGTGCTCTGAATTGCTGCATAAATAGAACACATCTTTCAACCCAATTCCAAGATGTACTTTCTCCACAAGACAGCGCAATCAGTTCTGATGTACTGGGCTTGACTTGGAACAGAATGAATCATACTAGCTCTCATCATGTGCCAGCATTCAAGTTTGCAAATGACTGAGATTTAGAGTGAATGGAATGAAGTGTAAAAGGATATAATGCTTGCAGACTGTGTCACTGTCATTTTAAGACTTACTAATTTACTCTAAAAATACTCTAATGTATGCAAGGTAGTCAACATTAAGAATGTTTACACCCCATGCTAATAACTCATGCAGAAAATTCAGTCAGTTCATGTGTGCGTAATGTTTTAAATTAAGATGCCAGAGGAAGGAATATATACAGTCCTCAATCAAAGGACCAGGAGATATTAAATTATGTGGGTAAGCTTTTGTATAATACTATCACCACAGTGAAAACACTCTAACATCATGGTGTAATTATGCGCCACTGGGTGAATGAATAAAACTCTGAATTCATCATTTTTGGGCCTCAAATTCCATCTGGTTTTAGGTTGTATAACCATTTTGTCTTAAAATCTAGTATGGCGCACAATCAGGAAAAAATCTTAAATTCACTCCAGATTTGGAAGTTGTTTTTCCACAGTTACTAAAACGGACCAACCAGCTTCCGAATTAAGATTGAATTTAAGAATTTTCCACAATTTTTTTGCACAATCTTCAATTATAAGACAAAATAAAAGAACATACTGGATGATTTGTTTGTTTTGTAAATGTTTTGTAAACATTACATGCAGTGAGCCCCTAAGCTTTTAGATATCCAAAACAAAAAAACAATAATAAATTGATCATTTTCAATCCACAACTGTCTGTGCGCAATTGGCTGCCGCGTTTCATCCACAAATATACAGTCAATTCGCTTTATAGCATATACTGTGAAGCGCTTTGAGACGTCTAGAAAACATGAAAAGCGCTATATCAAATGCAAGGATTCTTCTTCTTATTATTATTATATACCATAGCCTTCAAGTGTTCCGAAATGCTGCCCGGCGAGAAGGGCACTATATAAATGCAAGTTGCTGTTGTTGTAGCCTGGCTACATTTCGCAAGTAAGTTGTGTTGAAATTACTTTGAAACACAGCAATAATTTTATATATGTTACACTGTAGATCTGGACTCTGAAAGTGATTGATTGAACAGTTGTTCTATCTTGATCACAAGAGAAAGTCAAGTGAACAAGGCACTTTCTTATTTAATCTCAAACATTCACAATACCAACCCTTCAGAATTCACATTCATTTTAGTTTAGATACACTGGTGTCTTATGTCCTAGTTTTGCATTGAGTGGTGCATCAAATGAATGTTTGTCGCCACTGCACTGAACCAGTCATAAGCTAGTCAGCAAGTCGACTTGAGTGCATCAAAATATGTATTTAAGCTTATCCAGAGACCAGAACAATGGTATAAATATTTCCCAGTAAGGCAAATGTAAAAATTATTCCATGAGTGGATTGGAACAAATGACTGACAAGGGCTGCAGGAACAAGTAAATTATATAAATCCTGCTCACGAGTGTGGCCAATTTTCTAATTCAACAGTTTACCACTGAGCATTGTGTCCTTGAAGTGTAATATAAAATACATTACGAAAATGGAAAGCCTGGATGATTTTAATGTAGCTTTTGACACAGCAGAACATTTGTACTGTGCTGGACTCCGTACTCTCATCATACCAGTCCTAGCCAGGCGCCACTGGCTCCCAGTTGCCGAACAGATCGATTTCAAGATCCTCACACTCATTTTCAAATCCCTTCATGCCCTGGCACCTCCCTACCTCTCAGACTTGCTTACCCCCAACCAACTACCCGCTGCCTTCACTCGACTGGCTCCGGCCTCCTACAAGTCCCTTGTGTCCTCCGATTCACCATGGGTGGTTACGCTTTCAGCCACTATTCCCCCGAAACTCCAGAATCCTTGCCCCTTCCTTCCCCATCTTCAGGTCGCACAAGTTGTTGTTGTTATCTAATGTCATATTGGTATGAATGAAATCTATAAGAAAATCGGTGCAGGCCCAAAAAACACAAATTTCAAAAGCACAAATTTCAGGGGCAGGTTTATATTTCCAGTGCTGACGTTTCACCTCTCTATATTTTGCAGGAAGATAATCTTATCTGTGTTGCCAGATGATCTTACTGCCCCCCAATAGCAACAAGAAAACCCTCCCTGCTTTCGTTTTTTTGACAGATCGTCATTTTTAAAACAGAATTATGAGTCAGAGTCAGGACATTAGATTAGCTCTTTGACAAATTGTGAAAAAAGCACTATTTTTGGAACATTGTTCTCAATTCTCTACCAGAATATGTTATCCAAATTAGAAACCATTGAGCATCAGCAGTGCCTACATTTGATGGCCAACACTTCATCATGACGTAGCTAACACTGTTCTCATTCTGCGAGAGCGTTAGAAAGAAATCCCTAAAAAAGCAATGCATATTGCGTGATTTCATTTTAAAAGCTCATGGGAAACAATTTCTGACAGGCAGTGAAACACACCAATAAATCCATGCCAGACACTGCGCTGTGATTGTACCTGGGTTGGGTTGCAGATACTCTGTTGTTTTGGTCATGATTTCCATCACTGCTCGGCTGGTCACGTCCACTTTCTGAAAAGAAATAAGAAAAAAAAATATCATTTGTATTTGGCAGATCCATCCTGCCTTCTGCCAGCTCCACACTCCTTGCCCTCCACCGCCATGCCTCTCCCTTCAGGCCGCTGAGACCCTCATTCATGTTTTCATCACATCCCGGCTTGACTACGCTAACTCCCTGCTCACTGACTTCTCATCTCTTCCCTCCACAAACTGCAGATTATACAGAACTCTGCAGCTCATGTCCTTTCTGGCACCAAGCTCTGAGAGCTAATCACTCACATGCTCGCCCGTTTCACTGGATCCCCATCCCCTGGAGGACTGAGTTTCAGATCCTTGTCTTCATTTTTAAGTCCTCCATGGTCTTGCCCCTCCTTATCTCTGTGCTAAACCTTACCAAACTGCCCATTCCCTCCTCTTGGTGAGCTTGCTCTCCGTCCCCTGCTCTTCCTGCCCCACCATCAGTGGTCGAGCATTCAACCTTTCAGCCCCCACCCTCTTGAATTCCATCCCAGAGTCCCTTTGCCTCGCTCATCCCTTGCCTCCTTCAAGGCCCATCTCAAAACCTTTGAACATGCTTTCGATCATCTACCCCCACTCCCATCCCTCCAACCGTCTTGATTCCAACCCCCAGCTTAGTGCAAACCCTTGACTGTCCAGTGCTTTGGGACATCCTACTGATGTGAAAGGTACTGTATAAATGTAATTTGTTATTGTTGAGTGTGCTCATGGATTGTGTGTGTTATGTGCTCAACAACATGTGATTCGTGAATCCATCACCAAATGGATTTTCACAAACAATAAGTAATTTCTGTTACTGTAACTTTACAGCACAATAATATAAACAAAAAAACCTCAATCAATGGGCTGAGCTGGAGAGGTTGAAAGAATGGCCTTTTTTCCTTCTTGCATTCCAAATAATAATTAATAATCATCTATGCATTTGGTATAGTAGCTCATGAAGTTGTCAAAATGTCTCAAAGCTCCACACAGGATTTACTGTAGTGTATAGTGACTGTGTATATGTGAATGAATTTCATAGGATTTTCATAGTTCATATATTTTTTCCACTGGTTAACTACATAATAATGACATAATCACAGGCATCTGCAATTCCTCAATTTCAATTACAATTTCAACATACCAAATAATAGACTACTGCTGTCTAGATCAGTACAAAGGATATTGTTACAACTGCTTAAACTCTCATTCCTTCTCCGTGAAAACATTGCGATAGGCAGTCTAGTCAGTTTTTCTAACAAAACCAAAGAAGCGAAAAGGTTCAGTTGGAATTCAGAGTTAAGTTTCTCTTCAAGGTATGATCCTTTACTTGCTATTAAAGTAATCATCGGCAACCATAACTAGGATAATGGCAAGGTTTTATATTTCAAACTAGGTTCTTCTATATCCAACACATACATACACATGAAGCACTTTGAGACGTTTTGACGAGGCAGTATATCAATGTTGACAAAATGGGTTCAAAATGGATTATAATTCATTCAGATTCCCGTGTCTGATATCAATAACAAGCAATGGGAAAGATGAATAGTCCGAATATTTATATTTCAACTTTGTATGCATCTACTCTCCTAAACTACTGTATACTGTACTACTGTATAGCCTCCTTCCTGCCACAACTGTTGTCAGGTGAACAACAACAACAACAACAAGATTCCATTTATAGAGCGCCTTTCACGTCAGGAGGACGTCCCAAGGCGCTGCACAGTTGGGTCATGACCCGAGCAGGGGGGAAATGGTCAGGGTGATGGAAAGGGAGGGAGAGAGGAGGGGGGAAATGGTCAGGGTGAGGGGAGGGAAGGGAGGGAGCGAGGAGGAGGAAGAGAGTCGAGAGGGGAGCTGAAGGCTCGGTCAAAGAGAAAGGTTTTGAGACCGGCCTTGAAGGAGGAAAGGGAGGAAGCGGCGAAGGCACTGGGGATGGAGTTCCAGAGCCTGGGGCTGAGAGGCTGAAGGCCCGACCACCGATAGTAGGGCGGTTGGGGCGGGGGACGTGGAGCAGACCGGAGCCAGAGGAACGGAGGGTACGGGCAGGTAGGTAGGGGGATAGTAGGTTGGAGAGGTAGGAGGGAGCAAGGCCGTGAATGGCCTTGTAGGTGAGGATGAGGATCTTGAAATCAATCCTCTGGGGGATGGGGAGCCAGTGGAGGCGAGCGAGGGTGGGAGTGATGTGGTCCCGAAGCCTGGTGCGGGACAGTACACGAGCTGCAGAGTTCTGAATGACCTGCAGCTTGTGGAGGGAGGTGGCGGGAAGGCCGGCGAGGAGAGAGTTCCCATAGTCCAGCCTTGAGGTGACAAAGGCGTGAACCAGGGTTTCAGCAGCGTGAGGGGTGAGGTAGTGCCGTAGTCTGGCGATATTCCGGAGGTGATGGAAGGCGGTGCCAGTTGTGGTGCGGATGTGAGGGAGAAAGGACAGCTCAGGGTCGAACAAAACGCCGAGGTTCCTGACTGGCTTTGAGAGGTGGAGAGTGCAGCCTTGGATGCTGATGGTGTCAGCGCCTGAGGTGCGGAGGCGCTGACGTGAGCCAATCAGGAGGGCCTCGGTTTTTCGCACGTTGAGCTGAAGAAAGTTGTCTCTCGTCCAGGACTCGATGTCGGACAGGCAGGCTGTCAGGACATCGGTGGTCGTGGAGTTGAGAGTAGAGGAGGAAAGGTAGAGTTGGGTGTCATCCGCATACATGTGGAAGTTAACCCCATGTTTGCGGATGATGTCACCGAGGGGGAGCATATAGAGGGTGAAGAGGAGGGGACCGAGGCAGGTGAAGCCAAAGACTTGTCAAGCAGCTTGTAGTAGTAGTAGTAGTAATAATAATAACAATAATAATAATAATTCTTGCATTTGATATAGTTCTTTTCACGTCTTCTAGACGTCTCAAAGCGCTTCACAGAACATACTGTAAAGTGAATTGACTGTATATATTTGTGGGCGAAACACGGTAGCCAATTGCGCACAGCAGTGTCCCACAAAGAGCCGTGGTTTGAAGTGACCAATTTTATTTTTTTTCTTGAGGGATTATTATCAGGCCTGTGGAGTAAGGAAACTTGCCCAAGGTTTCACGCTACCGGGAATCGAACCCAGGTCTCTCACTTGCAAGGCGAGTGCTCTAACCACTGAGCTATCCACATAATCTTCACCTTTCTCCAGAGAGCACAGAGACCATTAATCTGCAACACTATAGATGTGAACAGACCTTCAACATCAATGAGTAGATGTTTTTTTTACCTCAACTGTCAGCCTGAGAAAAAGAGAAAGGAGCCCAGATCGGTGACATTACTCTGGAGCCTTCTAGATGTGTTATGTATGAATTAACACAAATTCAAACCACAATATCATGACATAGGACACCATGCGATCTGACTGACTGACTGAAGATACTTAAAAAATCAAAAACTCCCCTCCTTCACCCCTCCCCCACCCTAAAAATAAGTACACAAAGCTACAATAAGACATGCCTTCACTTATCTTACTGGTCCTTTCTCCACTTCCCAAGCCACACACTGTTATCTGAATGAGAGGAACAGGCGGTTTGCTCCCACACCTCTATCTAAGGCACATTTAATCCTGATCCTAAATCCCATTCCTGTACAAGGCATTCACACAATCACAACATTGGTCTTGATGAAGAACAAACTTTGGCCCATCCAATCCCATCACTCCAGAACACTCTACCCTACACACCCTATCCCCATACTGCATCAAGCTGCTTTTTAAATGAGAGGGGGGGAAAGAGGGTGGGGGGGAGAGAGGGAGGGAGAGAGAGAGGTGGAGGAGAGAGGGGGAGGGAGAGAGAGGAGGGAGAGAGGGGGGGAGAGTGAGGGGGAGAGAAAGGGTAGAGAAGGGGGAGAGAGGGGTCAAGGCGAGAGAGAAAGAGAGAGAGGGTGGGGCAAAGAAGGGGGAGAGAGGAGGGGCGAAAGAGAGAGGGAAGGGGGAGAGAGAAGGGGGAGAGCGCGGAGGAGGAAAGAGAGTGATTGAGAGTGGGAAGGTGGAGTGAGAAGGAAGAGAGAGAGAGAGTGTGTGAGAAGGGGAGTGAGAGAGATTAATTGAGAGAGAGAATTGAGAGAGAGGGCGAATGAGAAGCAGAGGGAGAGTGCCTGAGAGAAGGGGGATAGAGAATGTCTTTCCGCCTCCCCCTATCTGTCCCTCTCTTCCCTCTTTCTCTCCCCTCCTCTCCCCCCCCCTCTCTCTCTCCCCCACCCCTCTCGCCCCTCTGTATGCCCCCACCCTCTCCTCCCTCTCTCCCCCCTCTCTCCCCCTCTCTCCACCCCTCCTCTCTCTCACCCCTCTGTCTGCTCCCACACTCTCCCCCTGCTCCCCAACCCCTCTCTCTTCCAACTGTCTAAATCCCTTTCTGTCCCAACCTCTCTCCCAAGTGCGGGTCACTATCTGCAGCAGCAGGAGCTGGTGGTTGGGTGCTAAGGACACGGTTGGTAAGAGTCGCGCTTGCATTCTTGACAGACTGCAGTAAAGGCTCTAAGCGCACTGCGTCCTCCCAACTGCTGGCTCCTGCTGCTGCCCTGGGGGGAACGTTCACCAGAGAGGGACGGACCAGGTTGGAATGTTGGAAATGGTCTCGGGCCAGATGCGGCCCGCGGGCCACCAGTTGGCTCATGCTGGATGCGGACCTTTCTCAAATAGGGAATGTAGCCCATGACAGCCAAACGGTTGGACCACCCTGTCCTAAAGCATTGATCTGGATTTATTTTTTCAATCCCATTTAAAATTTTTTAAAAAAGCTGAATTCATCCCAGCTGTATTTACTGATAGACCTGAAATGTCACTGTTAATTTTGGTGCTTAGCATTAAACACTTTCACAATGCATCAGAAGAGATTTCTATTTTGCCCTTTAGAAATGTAATGTAAAGTTATATTAAAATTCCACCTTATATGTAACCTCAAATTTTATGTTGATTTGTTAACTCGTGTCGAAATTTCCATTAAAAAAAATCCACATAAATCATTGAGAAGGTAGTCCGCAGGTGCAGAAAGCAAAGAGTACAGCTAATGGGTTGCTGCGAATTATCGCAAGGTCTGAATATAAAACCAAGGAACTAATAAGCACTTATGCAGAGCTGGGCAGCCTACTCCCAGGCGTCCTATGCTCAGTCTTGGGAGCCCCATCTTAAGCAAGAATATACTGGCCTTGAAGGATGTCTAACAATGATTCACCTCAGATCAAGGGTTTTTACCTGCAGTGAGAGGCTGGTTTCTTTTCCTCAAGCCTGAGGAGATTGAAGGGTGGGATGATCTGACTGAGGTCTTTAAAAGCAGCAAAATGAAACTGACAAAGTGGATTGGCAATAGCTTTTCCCTGCAGTAAGGAATTCAGAATAAGGGTTCATAATCTTAAATTTAGAGCTAAAATGATTAAAAGTTAAAGCAGCAAACATTCCTTCAGGCAAAAGGTTGTGTTAGTATGGAATTTTACCAAGGATGAGGTATGTCTGATAGAGGAAGGAATGACAAGGTCAAGGAAAAAAGGTTCCACCACGCATGCCAAAACGCAGAATGAATTGAGGCGTATGACAAAGATCTAGATAGATATGTGATATTTACATGCAGTGTAGCCATCTCTATTTTTCAACATTTGAAAATGAGAATAGCCACTTTTTTAAAAAAGGGATTTTACTTTTTGTAAAACTATTTATAAAATTAATTTGTATGTTTTGTGAAGGTGAGCCATTGGTGCAACATCAAAACTTACATTAAATTACATTTTTGAAGCAGTTAGTTTTGTGCTGTGAGCAGTACATTAGTAGTTCATACTTGTATTAACTCAGGGATTACGATGGTTTGAGAGATTTTGCATTTATTAATAGGCTGTTGATGTATTAATTAATACATTGTTGAAAACTAACTTTTTTCTGAATTTCCCTTTAATTCTTTTTGTGATCTAAAATTTATGTCCTCTTGTTACTTACTCATTAAGTAATAGAAACAATCTATTACTATTTACGCCTATCATAATCTTGAAGGCTTTAACTTTTTCAGCATCTGTGAAAAAAAGGTGTCAGTCTGATTCAGTTGGTAGCACTTTCACCTTTGAGTCAGAAAGTTGTGGGTTTCAAGTCCCACGTCGGGACTATGAACAAACAGTAAAGGCTGACACTCCATTACAGGACCTCCATTATTGGAGGTGCTGTTCTTCAGATGAGATGTTAACCCGTAGAGGTAGATGTTAAAGAAACATTGTTATTCAAAGAGAAGTGAGTTTCTCCCAGAATTCTGGTCAACATTCTCCCAGATTAAGCTGGTCATTAATTTAATAGCTGCTTGTAAGAATTGTCTGCCACAACGCCTGCAGAATACACAGTCGCTCCACTTTATAGTAGATCCCGTGAATTGAGGCGTATGACATGGATCTAGATAAATATGTGATATTTGAGACGTCTCAACAATGTGATAAATTGCTATATCAAATGCAAGAATTATTTTTTACATTTTTTTTTAAAAGGCTCACCTTCTAAAGTCTCCCTTCAAACTGTTTATTCCTGGATTAACATCCTAGTAAGTCTAAACTGCACCCTTTCTATTGCTTATATATCTGCCCGATAGAGGAGTGAGGACCACCGTTCAGTGGGTAGGGACTGGATGCAGGAGGAAGGTGTCAGTGCTCTCACCATTTCGTGCTGGGTTGTGCTGCTTATTATGCGGCTTGTGAGTAGTTCCTGGTACCTGCAAACCACCGACTGAGGACTCAGACCTGCACTTGACACATGTTTAACGACTAACTAGTGATTATTGTCCATAGCAGTAGGTAAACAAGTCTCTTTGGGGATCTATTTGGGGGTGAGCTGGCATCACTGAGACAAGCGTGGCAATGGAAGAATGGAATTGAATCACTCTTCTGGAGCACCCTCTGTAGCCCAATACCCTAGTCAGGCAGTCCGCAGAATTTCATGGATTATTCAGACCCTAATGCGTAAGAATAATCCGAGAGATCACAATGCGCTTCACATTATTTAATTTGGCATGACTATGTGTATTTTGTGGGCGAAAGATAAGGTAGTCCTAGCTGGACAAGCAGCAATAAGCTTGTTAGTGTTTGTAGAGGTAAGTTGTGTGATCTTAGCTTGCTAAACTCCAGCGTGTTCAGGACCAACTAGTTACAGATGAGTGGAATCAATTGGCCAGAAAGATGAGAGCATCACTTACTTTCTCCATTTCTTTGAAGTCCTCATCGAGTTTGGTCCCTTCCGCACCACCAACCTTTTCACTCACACGCTGTGGAAGAGAAAGAGATAGAGGTGAGGCCCAAGGAATAGGACAGTGAAAAGAATTCATGTAGCTGGTCATATCATGTGAAACCATGAAATCACTGAAATTAGGAGTCAGGGATTTTGTGAAAAAGTGATCCCAGCAGTAGACAAGGGTAGAGGGGGTCCCAGGAACATTGGTGTTATCATTAATATAGATTTAGACACTGACCAGTACAAGATAGCATTGAAGGCTAACATCCTGAGGGGTCACTATTCCAGAAACCTATTTGACCTCTGCCCATAACGATTGTTATTAGAGACCTGCGTCAACCAGGAGAAGTCAGTGTCACTCCGTGAAGCTGTCATTGCACAACCTGTTTGTGGTGGACAAGGCTTTACGAAGTGTAACTGCGGTCAGAAGAAATGTCAGACCAACTGTTGTAAATGCTTCAAAGCAAAGCTAAAATGTAACTCCTGGAGTCATGGAAGCCTCAAATGAACATTTGACTCATCAGTGAATGAAATGACACATGAAGTTTATGATAAATAAAATATTAATTTTCATAATTTGTTATTTATATGTCGTTAATGCTACCAGGTGTCAATGCAAGGTTATCAATATGATGAAATTATCACTTTTTCACAAAATATCTGACTCCCAATTTCAGTAATTTCATGGTTTCACAATTTTTCCTGAAAATTTCATGGATTTCACAAAATCCCTGGTTTCACAACTTTACTGTTACATATATATATAGATATATAAAATTATATCAAACATCACAAAGATACGCTGTGGGAAGGGGCAGCACTCTGGGCTGGAATACAAACCATAAAGTGTAGGGATACAGATTTGTTAGCTTCTTTCTACTCATGGAGGAGCAAAAGGATGAACCGGAGGCACTATTACTGCTTGGCTGCCACACTCAAAAACTGGTGTTGGCATTGATTCAGGACATAGAGCTACTCTGCTACTTGCTCTCTTTATCCCTGGTAAAGTATATGGTCAGCAAAGAACAGAGGTCTGGGAGGAGGAAATCAATCAAAAACTGCTGTGGACACTCACAGATTAGAGAAAAAAGCATCCTGTTGCAAAGGATGTCTTTTCTACAACAATAACAAAATTACATTTGGAAAGCACCTTTCACGTCGGGAGGATGTCCCAAGGTGCTGGACGTCAGAGGTCAGGACCCGAGCATGGGGGAGGGGTGAGAGGTGGAAGGGCGACAAGGCATGATCGAAGAGGAGGGTCTTGAGACTGACTTTGAAGGAGGCAAGGGAGGAAGCAAGGCGAAGGAACTGTGGGATGGAGTTTCTACTTCGAATCATGCAGCCAATGCCCAGGAGGCAAGATCCTGTTAGTTTCAGTCAGTCACTCCCAGTCAGTAATTCAAAATAAAAATAGACTCAGAGTGTCTCAAGTGTCTCCAGAGATTTCAATTTGTACAATCCAGAATCAAGTTACAAAGCTAACAAAAAATTATATTCTGGGAATCTGTGAAGAGCAGGAATTGTCTCTATCAGCTCTGGATGTAAATGCATTTAACTACATCTGAAATTAAAGGCAATACGGATTTATTTACAAATGCAATAAGTGTGGATGAAGTACAGTGAATGTTGCACACAACATGATTCAGATCGTGGGGTTTAAAGTTGCCTCGAGAGAGACATGCTGCAGTTACTGTATTCTAGTTTGTGGTGACTTCAAAATAAATACAAGAAGATAACAATTCAGAGAAGGTCAATGGACCACCTGTCATCAATCTTATCAAATTAGAATCCATCCAGCATCTCAACCAGAACATTTACAGACACTCTACACCACACTCCAGTAGACCTATATCTGCTATTATGTTAAATCTCTGCAGATAGCAAACCTGACTGGTAACCGTTTGCAATAGCCATCAAAATGACTCCAAAGCCCAAAAGGTTACTGCAATAGAAACAGGATGCCACTAAAATGACAATGTTTGTTTTCAGACCATATTATATTAGTAATCACAAAGACACTCTCCATGGACTCTGAGGTTGATGTGTTGGCAAAGTAACCTGCGCAGTTTTGTTGAGATAGTGGTGAATTCTAAACCTTGCCAGCGTGAGGTAGATAATGTGCTAAAACTGTCAGCCTGAGGTGGATAATGTGCCAAAATATACAGTCAATTCACTTTGCAGAATATTCTGTGAAGCCTTTTGAGATGTGTCGAAGACGTGATAAGACGCTATATCAAATGCAAGGATTATTATGATTATGCTTTGTTTTGGTTATTCAAAAAAAATCAACAAAAACAACAACAAATTTACATTTGTATAGCGCTTTTCACGTTGGGAGAACATCCCAAGGTGCTGGAGGGTCAGTGTTTCGGACCCGAGCTGGGGGTCGGGATTGGGGAGAGTGGAGGGCAGGTGGGGAAGCAGGGTGATCAAAAGCATGGTTGGAGGGCCTTCAGATGGGTCTTGAAGAAAGCAAGGGAGGGGACGAGGTGGAGGGACTGCGGAATGGAGTTCCAGAGGGTGTGAGTAGAGTGACAGAAGGCCTGCCCGCCAATGGTGGGGCGGGCGAGGTGGGGAACGTGAAGCAGGCCCACTGAGTAGAAGGAGCGGACAGGATGGTTGGGGATTTAGGAAGTTGCAGAGGTAGGGGGAAGCCAGGCCAGAGGTATGATAGGGAGCCAATGGAGCCTGGTTAGAACTAGTGTGATGGGACTCTGGAGTTTAGTGCGGATGAGTATGCGAGTGGCGTAGTTTTGGATCAGCTGGATCCTGTGTACAATGGAGCTGGGGAGACCAGCAAAGAGAACATTTGAAAAGTTGAGTCGGGAGCTGACGAACGCTTGGATGAGGGTTTCGGCTTCGCCTGGGGTAAGGTACGTTCGGAGGCGGGCAATGTGGCGGAGGTGGAGAAAGGCGGTCCTGGTCAGTGACTGGATGGTGGGAAGGAAGCACAGCTGTGGATCGAACCTGACGCCTAGGGTTACGCACCATCTGAGGGATAGCCCGGGGAGGTTGAAGAGGTCAGAGCTGACATTGACAGGAGCCAATGAGTATGGCTTCTGTCTTATCAACATTTAGTTGTCGGAAGTTTTCACTCATCAGACCCTGATGTCCGCCAGACAAGGCAAGAGAACATTGGCAGACTTGGAGTTGCAGCTGGAGGAGGAGAAGTAGATTTGTGTGTTATCTGCATATATGTGGAAGTTTACCCGTGTCTGCGGATGACACCACCAAGAGGAAGCATGTATATGAGGAAGAGGGGGGCGCCCTGGGTGACCAGGCAGGGGCAGGAGGAGAAACCGTTTGGAGAGATAAAGTGAAGATGATTTGTTAGGTAGGACTCAAACCAGGATTGTACTGAGGTGTATGAGGGAGAAGAGGCGGTGGATCAGGATGGCATGGTCAAATGTGGCAGAGAGGTCCAGAAGGTCGAGAGCCCTGGTCAGAGAGAGAGAGGACGTCATTTGTGAGCTTGACAAGCACCACCTCTGTGCTATGGGCAGGGTAGAAACCAGACTGGAGGGCATTGAGGAGGGAGAGGTAAGAGGAAAGCTGGTTAGCGACAATGTGTTCCAGAGCTTTGGCAAGGAAGGGCAGGTGGAAATGAGATGGTAATGTGTGAGGTTGGAGTGGTGTGAAGAATCAGCAAGGAAAGTTGTTTTCCTTTCGCACAACAAACTCATCCCTAACATCAGTGCAGACCTGGTCTAATAGCATCTCCAATTACATGCACAGAATTGCAGACTAGTTCCGCTGTAATAGTCAATAATAATAATAGTCTTTAATGGTGCAATATTGTTGGTAAAATAAAATGAATGCCGGGTTACTTATATTGGAGGGGTGGACAGAAGGATCCTTAAAGTTTAATCCCTCTAAAATTCCATCTGTGTTTAGGTCATAATTATAATAATCCTTACATCTGATATAGAGCCTCATCATGTCACCGAGATGTCTCAAAACACTTCACAGGATACACTGTAAAGTGGAGTGACTGTATTTTGCGAGCGAAAGTGTGACTGGCCATGGTTACAAATATTAGCTTCCTTTGGAATTTCTTGTCCAGTGTTTTAAACTGTAGAAGCTGGCAGACAGATGAGCATTCAGGGATCAATCTGAACTCAGGCTTGCAAATCTTAGCTTGAAATCTTGGACTCTCTAGTTTATTTCCCAGTTTTTTTTAAAAGCCTCACACGAGTTATCAAAAGCCTGATACTGCCTTTCCTGAATCGGCCAAGAGTTGGAGCTTGAAGTGATCTGAATTGGGAGAATTTTGATTTCGAACTAAATTCAAAGATCATCACTTTGTCAATAACAGAACTTACGTATGTCTTATACTGTATTTGTTTTTCTACAAATACAGTCACTGACCTTTACAGTAAAAACTTGTGAAGTGCTTTGAGAGAGCTTAATGACATGATAATGTTCTATATCAAATGTGACAACAATAACAACAAAATTACATTTGTATAGTGCCTTTCACGTCAGGGGGAAGTCCCAAGGCGCTGGAAGCATTATTATTATTATTACTATACTATATATTATCAGCGCTTTGGGACGTCCTCCTGACGTGAAATGTAAATTTGTTGTTGTAGTAAGTTCTGCGGAGAAAAGTTCCATAACAGAATCATAAAGCATAACAATTTGGTTCTATTGGAATTTTATTGAAAAAGTCGAGCAAACCAACAAGTGGATCTAGAAGGTCTTGAATACTAAATGCTGAAAGCTTCTTGGCTTTAATCACATGATTATTTCATGGAAAGTTATTGATTTCAGTGATAACTAATCACGCCTTCTTAGCAATTTAACTGAATTTAACCAAGCAATGATGTTTACCTGCTTGTACAGGAGTTAGGTTTAAAGTGCATACATGTACAATCTAGTTTTTGACCTTTACTGAACTCTATTTAAATTAAGTATTAAATTTGATAGGTCCCCAAAACGTAATAATAATAATCCTTGCATCTTGTGTCATCGAGTGTCCCAGAGGATATACTGAAAAGTATCTTGTAGGTGACCAAAGCAGCCAATTTGCAC